AGTCTAGAGGTGTTAACTCAGTGGTAAAGCACAGGCCTAGCATGTGACAGGGCTCTGAGTGCAATCTCCAGCAATTAGAAAACAAAACACAACAGGGGTGGGGTGGAGTGAGGTGGGGGTGGAGCTGTTAGGTGCTTCCCAAAGGCAGCACTCTTAGGACACAGAAGCAATGGATTCACCTTCATTCTCCCTCCTCCCATCTCTCCTCATTCCCTGGTCACCCTGGAAACTGGACCTAAGGTCTATCTACGCTAACTAAGCACAGACCTTGCTAGTCCCCAACCCAAAACCCATGCTTAACTCCCACCACCCCAGTATTTTGGCACATGAATTCACTTAATTTGGTATAATTGCTGGTAAAATTGGAAATACTTCTTGCCAAAAAGTAAAAACAGTAAAAAATGTACCAAGGATGGAAGTTTTCCATTAATACCAGTAGACAGGTAGAAGGGAAAGTTAGACTAAGACGGATGTTAAGTAATACTGGAATTAGGGCCTGTAAGATGGCGCAGTCTGTAAAGGTGCTTTGGCTCCATACCTGACAACCTCAGTTCAGTCCCCAGGACCCATATGAAAGGAGAGAACTAACTCCCACAAGCTGTCCTCTGACCCCCACATATGTGCACACACAAGTAAGCACGTATAATTTTTAAAAGAAATATTGGAATTAATGCTGTTTGTTCACGTCTCTACCTCTTTTTAGCAGCCTGAAATCCAATTTATAAGATATATTTAACAAAGTATCCTAAATGATCAAATTTTTTTTCTACATACATTTTTCTTCCTCAAGCACTACAATAATTTAATATGGTTTATCCACTCTTCTTCATGAGAGGAAGAAACCAAGGTTTAATAAAGCATTTCACTGAGTTATTATGCTGCATAAGCAAGTAGGCATGAACGGTTAACATAATCAGGAAATGATTACATCTAAGTTGGACCTTAAATTTCCAGGGCTTAGCAATTCCTCTTCCCAATTTCAGCTCACATAACAAGCCAAGAAATTACTAGGTGTTTGTTCAGGTTATCTTTAAAGTACACCCACTTTGAGAGTCCTAGATTGTAGAATCACTAAGAAATGAGGCAATTCATTGACCCTTAGGTGTTACCTGTAATGTCTTTTTGATTTAGTGTTTTTATTTTAATAATCTTTGAAAACAAAGAAGGCTATTCTGGAACAACTGCAATATGCATTTCATAACTGAACACAGCCATACCTGGCGCCCACTTGATGGCTTGTAGAGGTACTGAATGAAGAAATGAAGTAGAATGCACTAGAATACGCTGGACTCCCAAGAATGCTCAAGAGCACAGTGGTTAATTCAGGGTTCCACGTGGACTTCATCTGTAACAGGGAACTTGCTAAGCACCCTAGCCAGCACTGCAATGGCAAAGACCCAGACTAGGATTGTTGCTATTTCCAATTCTACTACTTAGTTAGCCCAGTTCAAAAGCTGCAACGTAAATTTTGTTCTTGATGCAAATGCATTTTTTTTTTCCTTGCAATGCAAATCTTTTTAAAAAATAAGTTTTGGGCCAGACATGGTGGCACACACTTTAATTCCACAACTCTGGAAGCATGGGCAAGCATATCTCTAAACGTTGGAGTCCATCCTGGTCTACATAGTGAGTACCAGACCAGCCAAGGTCTCAAAAATGAAGTTTCACTAAGACAGCTTACATAACACAAAATTTGCCCGTTTTTACTGAAAATGTATTGTGCATGGTTTTCACCACATGTATGCAGTACCCATGGAGGCAGAGGGCAATAGACCCTCTGAAACTGGAGTTACAGATGGTTGTAAATCACCATGTGAGGTGCTGACAACTAAACCCAGGTCCTTTACAAGAGCAGCAAGTGCTCTTCACTGCTGAGCCATCTTTCCAGATCCCAAACTCACACATTTTGAAAAGCACAGTTAAACTGACTTTAAGTGTATTCATAGTTCCAGATTCACAAGCACTACTGGTTTTGTTTGTTTGAGTGTTCTGGGGGGAGGGGTAGCTGAAGGCAAACAAACAGGCTCTTGCATAGCTCAGGCTGACCTACAACTCTATATGTATCTGAGACTGGCCTTAAACTTTGGCTCTCTCCTGCTTACACCTACCAGTACTGAGATTAAGGTGTTTACCACCATGCTTGGCTAATTTTACATTTTCCCAAAAGACCCCCTGAAATCACTACCCACTTCTAATGTAGTCATTACTGTGCACTTAAAGGACTTCCATAAAAGCTTCCCTGTGAGCATATAAAAAGCACTAAATAAATATTCAGATAAAGGGTAATATGACAAATGATATCCAATTCCCAACCCCTTTGCTCCTGACTTCTCAATTCCAAACCTTCATTATTGTTTGCTGAGTAATTTTGCATATATATTCATCAGCATTTCAAACCAAACCATGTCAAACCCAGATTATCATCTCCCCTACCAAACCTGTTCTTCTTGAGTTATCCCTTTTGTTGCTCAATCCTCTTCCCACTCGCCTGCAAAGGATACCTAGCAGTGCCTCTCATTCTATAGTCATTACTGACTTCCTCAAATTTATTCCTACTATGATGTTGTTTAGATTTCTCAGTATCTTTCAACTTTTTTTTTTTTTTTTTTTTTTTCAGTCAACTACACTATTAACACAGGCTCTAACTGGCCACCTCGGCTTTAAGTTACCTTCCCTATCTTTCTTGTACCCAAACACTGATTATTTTTCCAAATACAAAAATGTTGTCACTTCTTGAACACAAAGTTTAGTCTCAGAATAATGGTCAAATCCCTGAGGGTAAACCTCTTCACTGACATACTCAATGCCATCATTACCCGCCCCCCCCCAAAAAAAAACCCTAGAAATTTTGGAAAATACCCAAAATTCGACACCTGCTCGGATGCAAAGCTTAAATTAGACTCCAAAACTTCTGATGTTTATTTGTCCTGTATTATGCCATACTCTACTATAACAGGATGTAATTTCTCAGTGCCAAACACCCAGAATTGCCCGTCTTTACTTCAAAATGTTTTACTCTCTTTGCATGTGTTACACTGACCCTTGTGTCAAAGACTAATGTAAAAGTATGACCTCTTAATCCCAAACCAGTAATATTTAAATCCCAAATGGTATCCAAGTACATCTCTGAGCCTCATGAGCAAATGGGATAAAGTTTAATAAACTAATTGGATCCTCTTCTCGAGAAACCAGAGGACAAGTTCAATGCACAAAGCACATCCTGGCTGCAAACACTCGCTGCCCACACACGGGCCTGAAGTGACAGGCAAAGGACACATCACGGGTCCCGGCCCCGGTCCGCAGACGGCTCCATTCCCGACCAAGGAATGAGTGGACGCAGGAAAGGAACCGGCAGCTCTGGGTGAAACGCCAGCAGGGCACCGCTGCCAACCCTTCCCGCCAGCACAAAGGCCTCAGTCAAAGGCCCGAAGGTCCGCCGGCAGGCCCAGCTGCGGGTGTAGTCCGGAGCCTCCGCCCCAGGGACTCGCTAACTCCGGCTTTCTGGGGGACAGTCTGGCTTCCAAGCACCCTCCCGCAAAATACAAGCAAAGAAGACGCAACAGCGCGGCCCCAAAACCTGAAAGGGGAAGTGGGGAAGGCGCGGGGCTTCGGACCGGTCGCTCCCGGCCCGCTAGACGCCAGACGCCGGGGGAGTCCAAGGGGACGGCTTCCTCGTGCCCTTCGGGGGCGAACTCGACTCTAGATCCCCCAACTCCGCAGTGGCTTCCTTTCTGTCCGGGACCACCGAGCCGAGCGGGGTGTGGCCGGCCCCGGCCCGAAGCTCACCTTTCAGTCCAGGGCAGCTGGCTGTCCGTCAGTCAGTCCCGAATTCCGTCCACACACGGCGTCTTCCGGCCCCAGCCGGAAGCAGCTCCAGAGCGGGACAGGAAGTTTGGCCACCCCACACGAGCATACCCGCTCGCTTTCTTCTCCGCCCAGAGGGTGTCACTCAGGTCGAGGTGTCGACCCTCTGGCAGCTGCTGGGACGGGTTCCCGGCTCCTCTACCCACAGGGGTCCGGAATGAGGACCCGCAGCGCCCCGCCCCCGCCTCTCTGCCCTTCAGGGCTGTCGGGGCCGCGAAGTCTGAAACCAGGTCAGTTCGTTCTAGCCGTGACGTAACCGCCTTCCCGCTGATGTGGATGTGTGCGGTGGCGGTGGCTGAGGTGGGTGGAGAGGAGGGGGTTAGCGTTCTCCGGAGCAGAGGGCTTAAGACAGCTAACAACGCTCCCGAAACACCAAAACTCCATAAAGAGGACCCGAAGTCTTCATGGCCCAAGGAGGAGCCCAGAAATCAAGCCTTGCATCGCCCATAGGGCTGGGTATGAATTTAGGCACGTGCGCAGCTTTGGAAACATTTAAGAATTCCCGAGATCTTGGATAGCCTAACTGAAGGCTCAGATACCCGAGTTCCAAGCTGGGTAATAGTTCTTGCTGTAACTTTGGCTGACTGCATAAAATGTGAAGACCTGGCTGGCGTGGTGGAACACGCCTAGCACTTCGAGCACTTGGGAGTTCCAGGCGAGCTAGGGCTACATAGTGAGACCCTGTCAAAAAAACAAACCCATGGTGTGGTTTGGTGATTAAAGATAGTGCCCGTGAGAATTAATGTTCTCTCAAGGCGCTTATTTTCAAGTTTTAGAGATAAGCCAGGAATCTAACTGAGCTAGGGAGTGGTAGTTTGGGTACAAGACGTTCTTGGAGAAAACCTTTCCTCGATACTTGATGCTGGGCACCGAGAAGCGTGGCTGCAATGCCATTTGAGGATTGCCGTGACAAGGACAACTGGGTTACACAGTATCTGGGAAAAACCTTGGGTGGCAAGGAAATGTTTACTGGGAGTTAAAATCCTAAAGTTTAAGAATTAAAAAACAAAGTTAAATTTGGCAGTTACTACTGCCATGAAGTAGTAACTTCATCATATGAAGAAATGAAGAGCCTTCCAGACAGACAAAGTGGTCCAGAGGAAGTATATAAAAGGTTAGCTCGCTGCAAAACTGGATTGAGTGATTACTAATACAATTTTAATATACTTGTTGTAAGTTTTGCCTATAAAGTACATTGGCTATATACATTGGCCATAAGTCAGTCAGAAAACAGCTCCAGTTTGGCTATTCTAAAGGTTGAGTTACAATTAATAAAACAAATTCAATACATCAGTACATCTGGAATATTTGTGTCTATAACCACCGGCTAATTTACTTAGTCCTATCATTTTCTGAAGCTTGTTCACTTGGGGCTCGATAGGGAGTGGGTGGGATTGCTGATTAGCCCCTAGAATACCCATTAGTGTTCTGGCTTGAGCACTCCCCCACCCACTTCAATCACTGAAATTCTGAGTGATGTTTCTATCTACTTGCCCTCCAAAGTAGAGGCCCAGCATGGTGGTACAGGGCCTTTAACTTAAGCAGTCTGTAGGCAGACAGGCAAGTGGATCTTTTGAGTTCCAAGACAGCCTGGATTACATAGCAAGCTACATAACAGACTCTGTCTCAAAAAAAGAAAAAAAAAAGACTCCTAAAGTAAACACAAGCTTTTATCAATATACAATAAGTTCTTAGGCTTGCAACACAGCCACAAAAAGATCATCTTCTGGATATCAATCTGGTCTTTTGAACTTTCCATCAAGTCAACTGAACTCATTTCTCTTCACATAACACTCCCAACTCAAAACTTGTGCCCTTCTACCCCAAAACTGTTCCACAATCTATAAATTCTCCCAGTGCTACCCCCAACCCTGTATACTTATACATTAGAAGCCTCTCATTGGGCAGGCTGGAGAGATGACTCAGAACTTTAGAGTACCTGCTGCTCTACCAGAGGACCTGCATTAAAGAACCCAGCACCCACATGGTGGTTCAAAACTCTCCACTTCCAAGGGATCCAATGCCTTCTTCTAGTCCCAGCAGGAAGCAGGCATGAACATGGTGTACAGACAGACATGCAGGTACTTAAAATAAAGATTTTTAAAGTCATTAAAAATCTGGAAAGGCCATCTCAATTCTAATAAGTTTAAGAATAATGTTAAAAAAATTTTCCCAGTTCAACAGATGTTTACTGCTTCTCACCTAGGATTAGCAGTATGTTTACTCAGTTTTTAAACTAATTTAAAGATGTATTATGTATGATCCATTAACAGCTGTGTTAACTCTCTAGGGATTTTTAAATATTTGATACAAATATATGTAATATTAGTTTTTATAAACAAATTAGCTAGGTAGTGAGTGACACCTGCCTGGAATCCCAGCAGTCTCAGCAGTGGGGAACCTGAGGAGTCAGCACAGCCTGAGCTACACTAACACAACCATGTCCAATATAGTTATTACTAGTATTATTGTAAGAAAAATAAATCAGGCATAGTGGTACATGCCTATGATCCCAGCACTTAGGAGGTGAGGCCACAAGGATCACCAATTTGAGGCCAGTGTGTACTATTGAGATCCTGTGTCAAAAATAAAAAGGAAAGAAAAACAAATGATACTAACTTCAATCTATTGTGGCAGTGGTTCTCAAGCTTCCTACTGCTGTGACCCTTTAATACAGTTCCTCATGTTTTGGTGTCTCCAACCATAAAATTATCTTGTTGTTACTTCATAACTGTAATTTTGTTAGTTATGAATAATAGTCATGTAAATATCTGATATGCAGGATATCTGATATACAACCCCCCCCGGGGGGCCATGACCCACAGGTTGAGAACCACTGTATTATGGTAAGCAGTCATGTTAGATGTATAGAGAATATGATATTGAAGATTAAGGTTATGTAATTAAGAAACTATTATCACATTTAAACCAATAATTGTCTATATCGTAAGATTACTTTTTAAATGTGTCTTAATAGTCTTCGTGTAAAGTGGGAAATGTAGGGTTTCTCTGATGAAGATGCAGCGACTACAGAGAAGAATCTTCTGAAATGCAGACGATCTGCTTCCCTATGTTGCCTCCGGTCATCATGGACTGGAATGCAACTGAAAGAAAACAAACAAACAAACAAACAAACAAACAGGTTGGTTGTCTGAAAAGAGAAATGTTACTATATATTTGTTAGATCTTTTAGTCTGAATAATTTCAGTGATTTTTCTTTTTAAATTTATTTTTTGCTGGGTGGTGGTGGTATACACCTTTAATCTTTTAGAGGTCTAGGTTCAGTTCCTAGCACCTACGTGACAGTTCACAACTAGTTCCAGGTCATCCAGAGCCCTCTTCAGGTCCTGTCAGACGTATATGCGTGTTGCACTCTTGCATACATGCAGGCAAAACACTCTTTGTGTGTCTTGCCTACGTGTATGTATGTACACCACATGCATGCCTGCTGCTCATGGAGTTCAGAAGAGAGTGTTGGATTCCCTAGAGCTGGTGCTAGGAATAGGAATGGCTGTGAGCCACCATGTGGGTGTTAGGAACGGAACCCATGTCCTCTGCAAGAATAACAAGCATTCTCAACCACTAAGCCATCTCTCCAGCTCCAGATAAAAATAAATTACCCCCCCCCCCCAAGACAGCATTTCTCTGTGTAGCCCTGGCTGTCCTGGAACTTGCTGTGAAGACTAGGCTGGCCTTGAACTCACAGAGATCCTCCTGCCTCTGCCTTTGGAGTGTGCTGGGATTAAAGGTGTGTGTGTGTGTGTGTGTGTGTGTGTGTGTACGCGCGTGCCACCGGCATTCAGCTTCTGTGTGTGTGTTTAATATTACACACAGAAGGAGACTCATAGTGTATACATGTAATCCCAGCACTCTGGAGCCAAGGCTAGAGGATTATGTTGTTTAAGGTCAGTCTGGGCTATACAGCAAGATTCTAAAACAACCAAAAAGAGTTGGGCAGGAGAGAAAGCACATTGCCTCCCTCAGATATGCATTATTTTAGAAACCTGGGGAGACATTCCATCTAAACACTGAGCTTGTAAATTGGGGATCTGCCCCAGCTTGGCCTCAAGAAAAAGTTAATGCATTCTTGAATGTGAGGAAAGGAAGAAGAAAAGGAAAAGAGATCTTATTTCAAACAGGTACAAGTAGGATACAACAGAATCAAATACCATTCTGAATCACTGCTGTTGGGCTGGGGACATAGCCCGGCTGGTAAAGCACCTGCCTGCCCAGCATATGAGAGGCTCTGGGTTAAACCCCAGCACCACATATAGGAAGACTGTGGCTTTTGCTTGAAGTTTTTGGGGCAGGAATATCAGATTTCAGAATAATCCTAAGCCTCGACTCATGAATCCTAGTCTCAAAAAGACTGAAAGACAACAACCCTACTGCTATTTAAACTGGAAATACCTAGTTGGTATCCATATAGAGGGACAAAATCTGAAGAATAAAGGCAAGTAAATATGGGGCAAAAATATCAGCAAAAACAATTTTAAGTAATTCAAAATTTTAGAAACTTAAGTTTTATTTATTTATTTTGTTTATTTTGGAAATATACTTTTTTTAAAAAAGAAAAAAAATCAGTTTGTCTTAAGCCTTTTCACTTGAAATTAATAAAAGAATATCTATGTTAGGCAAAAAAAAAAAAGATTTTAGAAGTCTGATTAATCTGATGTCTGAGAAACATTTAATCTAAAAAGTTACCTAAGGCCTATAAAGTTTTCATACTACTTATATTTTTATAAGCTGTCTGAGAAACCAAAGATATATATGTAATATCTGAAATATGAAAACTGCCTCTTGATATAATTTGCATATGGAATATCATGCTGTAAGTGCTCGGTCCTCAGCTAGTGGTACTATTTTAGAAGGTTCTAGAAACTTTAGTAAGTGGGACTTCGCTGGAGAAAGAATGTCACTAGAGTTGGGTCCTCCCTGCTTCTGTTTTCTTGATGTGAACACTGCCTTCATGTACTCCACTATCATGGTGATCTGCCCTACCCAAGTGCATGGGGCCAAGTGACCCATGTGAATTGAACCCTCTAAAATCATGAGCAAAATAATTCCTCCCTAGAATTGTTTCACTTACTTTGTCACAATGATGAAAAGGTAACGAGTACACATTAAATATCACTAGAGTAAACTCTAATGGTGTTGGATTGCAATATTTAAGAAACCTACATATATAGGACAGTTCATAGGGAGGAGATTATTTTTCATTATTTTCATTTTTATTTTTGAGACCGAATCTCACACAGCTGAGAATGGCTGCATTGATTATGCTGCCTAGACCACCTGAATTTGGGATTACAGTGGTTACTACTATGCGTGATTTTTCTGGGCTCCATTTATGGTAAACAAGCACTCTATACCAACTAGCCTACATCCTCAGTTCCAACAATAAATTATTAACAAGATGGGTGTGGTGGCAAATACCTGTAATTCCAGCACTTGGGAGGTGAGAGCCGAGAAAAGGAATTTAAGGTCAGCCTCAGCTACCTATCAAATTGAAAGCCAACCAGGGCTACACAACACCTAGTCTCAGAAAAGCTCTGCTCCACCTCTCCCTTCCCCCTCCAAGAAAAGAGAAAAGTAAAATAAAGGAGAGAAGACAGAGCTCAGTCTTAGAGGCCTTGCCTAATGTACATAAAGTCCCAAGTTCCATTCTCCTTCACTGTATAAAACAAATGCAGTCTTTCAGTTAACACTGACCCTCAGTGCCTCCAAGAGGGGCGGGGTAGTGGCTAGGGTTTAGCACATTGGTGAAGTGTGTGCTGAACATGAAAGAAGCCACCTGTTCGTTCTCTAGAATAAAAGAAAGTAACACCTGAAAGGTAACATTAAAAGAAAAATCATGAAATAAATCTGCATTCATCTTACCTCCCATGTTTTCCAGTCCATTTATCACAGTCTCCTTGATCTGTAAATCAAAACGGCTAGATTTAGGATTAATGGTTTTCATAAAAGGAAGCAATATAATTTAGAATAGAAAAGATTCTTTATTTCAGATAGGTCACCCAGAAAAGTTTGTTGATTGATTTTTTTCCAATAAAATCCTATATTTGTTGTCTAATTAAAGAAAAAAACTTTATTTTTTTTTTAATTTATTTGTTTTATAGTTAAGTGCACACATATCTTAGCATGAATGTGGAAGTCAGAGGACAACTTGCAGATGTCGGTTCTTTTTTTTCTTTTTCTTTTTCTTTTTGTGACAGGTTTCTCTTTATAGACCAGTCTGGTCTCAAAGGCAGAAAGTAGACTGCCTCTGCCTCCTGAATGCTGGGTTTAAAGACATGAACCCTGGTCCTCTTGCAAGAGAAGTCAGTGCTTTTAATCGCTGAGCCATCTCTTCAGCCCCAATTTGTTAATAAACATCACTTTAGATTTCAGAAGAAATACCTATTGATTTTGTAAATAATTCATGAAAGTAAAACTTAATAACTGTTTAAAAGATTTTATTTTTATTTTATGTGTATGAGTGTTTTACATGCATGCATGTATATATGTAAGTACATGTGTGAACCACTTGTGCCTGGTGCCCTGGGAGCACCAGAAAAGGTTAATGAATCCCCTGGAACTGGAGTTATAAACAGCTGGTAGCAGCCATGTGGGAACTAGGAACCAATCCCAGGTCCTCTACAAAAGCAGCAAGTACTCTTAAGCACTGAGCAGCTTCTGCAGTCCTGAAATTAATAAACTATTGCATAAAAGTTAAAAAGGGGCGGGTTCTCAATCAGGAGATTATAGTCATCTGGGAGGAAATTTTATTCAGAGATTAACTTTTTTGTTTGGTGTAGTTTGGTTTTCGAGACACGGCTTCTCTCTATAACAACCTTGTCTGTCCTGGAACTCCAGGAACTCTAGGCTGGCTTCAAACTCCCAGAGATAGCCCGCCTGCCTCTGCTGGGATTAGGGGCATGCGTCATCATGCCTGGTTTGAGATTAATTTTTAAACCGTGGGGGAGGAGGTGCATGTCCGTGTGTATGTGCATATGGATGCAGCTGCTTGGGGTTCCACAAAGGGTCACAGTCCCTGGAAATGCAGTTACAGTCACTTGTGGGCAGCCTGACATAAGTGCTCGAAAACAAACTTGGGTGCTCCGCAAAAGCAGTATGTGCTCCTAACCACTGAGCCATCTCTCTTGCCCATCTTTTGTATGAATTTTTCGTAATGAAACAAATGTTTGCCATAGTAAAGTCAAACAAAACAAAAGTGCCAAGTGGCAGGAAAAATATACATTTATAGCTAATAAATAGTAGAAGTTGGGGATTTGCCTCAGTTGGCGGAGTACTTGGCTAAGTCCTGTGTCCAAGACCCAGAACCACAGAAATTGGGCATGGTAGCATGTGCCTATAATCCCCGCACTAGTGAGCTAGAGGTAGGAGGCTAAGAGTTCAAGGTCATTTCCAGCTACATGTCAAGTTTCATGCCAGTCGGGGCTACATGAGACCTTGTTTCAAAAGCAAAAAGAAGTGTTACCTTTAGCTTTCCTTCTTTAAACCACTGACTCAGCTGAAGAATTCCAGGCTCAAATCTATCTTTGTAATTTAATACCATAAACCTCTCTCTGAAAGTAGAGAATAAAAGAATAACGATTAGAGAATATTTCAAGACTGAGAACCCAAAATCAAATCTTTCAAAATGGCAATACCTGTGTTAGTTTTTAAATTTGCATATAACTATACTAGTCTGGTTGGATAATGTTGTAGGTGTAGTTAAGGGGTAAGCACACTAAACTCTTGACTGTTTATGCCTGCTTATCTACAACCTATTCGTCAACAGCACTGTGAATTTTCCTTTGTGGATAACACTCTTTTCCCATCCTCACATGATTTCATCCAGTCAAAACCAGAAATATTAGTTTTCTGGGAACCAGTTCACCAAGATTTTAATATTGGGGGGCCTCCCTAAGTATATATACTTTTCAGTTTTATTTAATAAGAAAAAATATAAATGAATATACTTCACATCTATAAAAATTTTAACTCCCCATCAAAGCCCCTGTAAAACTGGCAGTAAGGGCAAAGGTACAGAACACACCTTTTGATGTTTCTTTCCTTCAGGATTGCTTCCACAGCAGGGGGCAGTGGAGGAGGATAAGGCACATCTTTATTGTACTGAGAAATCTGGCCACAGAATAATGTGGCTGTTCTGATTCATCTGTATAGAGAAACACTGATGATTACATCCTTAGACTCCTTTCCTATTGATGAATGTATGACTATATCAGTGAAAGCCTACATAACAACCACACTTAAACCTTTATTACCAACTAGTTGTATTTATTTTGAAGATTTACCTGTTTAAAAGTGTTTTAACTTTTTTTATTTGTGTATGTACCTGCGTGAATTTTATGTTCACCATATATATGCAAGTGCCTGTGGAGGCCAGACGAAGGCCTTGGATCCCCCTAGAATTGGAGTAATAGATTCGGAGCTGCCTGATGTGCATGTCAAGAACCAAACCCAGTCCTCGACAAGAGCAGTAAGTACTCTTAACTGCTAAGCCATCTCTCCAGCCCCTACAAGTTGTTGTTTTGGTTTTTTGGAGACAGGTTTTCTCTGTGTAGCCTTGGCTGTCCTGGAACTCACTCTGTAGACCAAGCTTGTCTTGAACTCACAGAGATCCGCCTGCCTCTGCCTCCTGAGTAATGGGATTAAAAGCAAAAGTGTGCACAACCATCCCCGGTTTATTTTGTTACTTTTAATGATGTGTATATGTGAGTCTGTGTAGGAATTGTACCGTGGTCCCAAACTCCATGATGTAAGTACTATTCGGGCTGTCAAACTCAGCACGTTGACAGCACCACCTGCCAACACTAAAACAAAGGCCTCATCCATCAAAGTCCATGGTTCTGGGAAAGTCTCTAAATGTATTCCCCTTGCTTTTTGGCTTCTATAGTTCCGCTTCTAATTAACTGTTCTTGTAAACTGAAGTATGTCAACCTAGGATATTGTTTTTGTGCTTAAAAGCTCATCCCAAGAAAGACTCAGTATGGACTGTAGTCACTGGCCAGCTAATAAAGACTTTCTATTGGCTTAAACCCCAGTCCCAGTAGTCTTCTCTGGAGGATACTCCACAACAGATACAAGTAAGTGCAGGTGCCTGAGGAGGCCCGAGTTGTCAGCTCTCCCTGCAGCTTGAGTTACAGGTGGTTTGAGCTGCCTCACATAGATGCTGGGAATCAAACTTAGGACCTCTACAAGAGCAGCACACATTCTGAACCATCTCTCTAGCCCAGTAATATATTTCTTTAGATTTAAATAATTTAATCTCAACTGCAAGTAATTTTACATATAGTAAAGGTCTATTTATGCTTATTATAACTATTGATATTTTACTACATTATCAATAAAAATACATAACACCTATAATCTGAAAACCATTTCCTTACCAACTCAGGATACACGGTGATTGATTGATAGTGAGTTACAGGTCAGCCTCACCATTTCAAAAGTGCAGTTCTTAATTTTTCACGAAAGTAAATTGAAGGTGAAAATATTACATTGCTAGCAGGAACTGAAATTCAGAATACAAATGTGCACTCAAATGAAAGAATAAGATCTTTTGTATAATTTAAATACATTAATGATCATGCTATTTGTCAAAATGGACCCTATGATTTTATAGCTCCCCCTCAGTGTCAAGCAAAAATATATACAATATAGTACAGTACACAGTATATATACAGTACAGATTTGTAACAGAAACAAGTCGGCGAACAACCTGACTTATCACTGCATCGCTGATGTCGCCTCCAACGTTGTCAAAGTAAACATCCACTCCAGCTGGGCAGGACTCTTGCAGCTGTTCTGCCACACTCCCTTTTTTATAATTAACTGCGGCATCAAACCCCAGTTCTGAAGTCAAAAAGAGGCATTTCTCATGGGTTCCACAAATTCCCACCACTCTGGAACAGCCAAGCAGTCGGCCAATCTAGGGAGGAATTTTTTTACAAATTAAATGATTTTATATTCACACAAACATTAAAATGTCAAAGAACACAAGATACTGAAAGTAGAAGAGAGTATTTGTCCTGGCTAACTTTTATGTCAACCTGACACAAGCTGGCATCATCTGAGAGAAGGGATTTTTTTTTGACACAGGATTCCTCTGTAGCCTTCGCTGTCCTGGAACTCGATTTGTAGATGAGACTAGCCTCAAACTCACAGAGATCTGTCTGCCTGTACCTTCCCAAGTCCTGGGATTACAGGCATGTGCCACCACTGCCCAGCTAAGAGAAGGGAACTTGAATTGAGAAAAAGGCCTCCATAAAATCTAAGTGTAGGCAGGCATGTAAGGGCATTTTCTTGGTTAGTGATTGAAGTGGGAGGGCCCAGTCCCCAGCCCATAGTTCGTGGTGCCAACCCTGAGCTGGTGGTCCTGGGTTCTATGAAAGAGCCAGTAAATAGCACTCTTCCATGGCCTCTGTGTCACTTCCTGTCTCCCAGTTCGGACCCTGTTTGAGCTCCTGCCCTGACTTCCCTCAATGAGAGACTGATACCCAGAACTGTAAGTAGAAGAGAGTCTTTACTTTTATCATAATAATTTCATCACAACAATATTAACTTTAAGACAATACTGATCACAATTTAGGTTTGATTATAGTGCTTTTAACTAAAAACTAAAAAAAAAAAAAGAAAGAAAGAAAAGAAAAAACTTTTTGGTTTTTAGAAACAGGATTTCTCTGTGTGGCCCAGGCTAGCCTCAAACTCAGAAATCCATTACCTTGCCTGCCTGCCTGCCTCTGCCTCCCAAGTGCTAGGATTAAAAGTATGCATCACCACTGCTAGGCTTAACAAAGCTTTACGGCACATGCCTTTGATCCCAGCACTTGAGAGGCAGAGACAGGTGTATCTCTGAGTTCAAGGCCAGCTCTGGTCTGCAGAGTAAGTTTCAGGACAGCCAGGACTGCACAAAGAAACCCTGTCTCAAAAAAACAAGACAAAACAAAAATGGAGACTGTTTCTGATATTAACTCAATGGCTGGCTCTTTGACATCCCTCCCCTCGCCGAGGGAGAAGCAGCCTTGCTAGGCCACAGAAGAGGACACTGCAGCCAGTCCTGATGAGACCTGATAAACTAGGGTCAGATGGAAGGGGAGGAGGACCTCTCCTATCAATGGACTTAGAGGGGCATAGGAGATGAGGGAGGGAGGGTGGGATTGGGAGGGAATGAGGGAAGGGGCTACAGCTGGGATACAAAGTAAATAAACTGTAATTAATATAAAAATAAAAATTTAATTAAAAAAACAAAAATGAGAGCTACAATACAGTACTATGCTTCCCGTACTATAAAAGCTACTGTATCAGTTATGTTCTGTTGCTATGATAAAACATCAGAACTAAAAGCAGCTTAAGGAAGAGAGAGTATTTGGGCTTATAGTCCCAGAGGGATAAGAGTCCTTCATGACTCCACAAGGAGAGCAACAGAACAAGATAATTTGAACACAGGGAACTTCCCAGAGACTCATACTCCAACCAAGGACTATTCGTGGAGATGACCTGGAACCCCTGCACAGGTGTAGCCCATGGCAGTTCAGTGTCCAAGTGGGTTACATAGTAATGGGAAGAGGGACTGCCTCTGACATAATCTGATTGGCCTGCTCGTTGATCACTTCCCCCTGAGGGAGGAGCAGCCTTATCAGGCCACAGTAGAGGACAATGCAGCCACTTTTGATGAGAACTGATAGACTAAGATCAGAAAGAAGAGGAGAACCTCCCCTATCAGTGGACTTGGGGAGTGGCATGCATGCAGAAAGGGGAGGGAGGGTGTGATAGGAAGGGGAGGAGGGAGGGGCTTGTGGGGGGATACAAAATGAATAAAGTGTAATTAATAAAAAAATTTTAAAAAAGGGTCCTTCATGACATGAAAACATGGCAGCAAGAGGGATGAGCCCATCCTGTCGGGGAGGCATGGTAGCAAGCAGCTGGCAAGGTGGCAGCAGGAAACAGATTTTTAGCCACAAGAAGAAAGAAGAAAAAAGCAAACTGGAAGTAGGATGAGGCTATGACATCTCCAAGTCTGCCCCCAGTGGTACACTTCCTCTAGCGATGCTACACCACCTCCCCAGACAGCATCACCAACTGGACCAACTGGGCAACAAGTGTTCAATAACAGGTTATTTCTCATTCAAACCACCACAGCTACTATGATGGCTCCTCTTGACTGTCAACTTGACAGGATCTAGAACTACCACTGGAGCAAATCTGGGCATACCTGTCACTTAGCTACAGTAGGTTAACTAAAAAGGGGAAATCCACCACAAATGTGGGTGGTGCCATTGCAGAGTCTGGGGTCCCACTCTGAACCAACAACAGAAAGCAAGGTGAGTACAAGCATCCATTGCTTTCCATTTCTTAAGTATTGATGCAATTTGACGAGCTGCCTTGAGCTCCTACTATCATGACTTCCCTGCCACAATAGACCATATCCTGGAACTTTGTACCAAATATAAATCTCCTTCCTTGGGTTGCCTTTGTCAGGCACTTTATCACAGCAAAGATAACTAATATAGCAAAGGTAACTACTTATAAAACATAGAACTTTTTACAGGTTTTTCAAAACATTTATTACATAACCTAAATTCAATAAATGCTTTTTCCTCTATTGTACCTCAACACATGAAAGGTGGAAGTAGGAGGAATAGGCATTCAAGGCCTGCCTAAACTACATAGTAAGTTTGAGGCCAGCCAGGCCAGGGAGACAAGTGACTCTGTCTCAAAATATAAATAACCTCGAGGAAGAAGAATTATATTAAGATTTTTTTTAAGTGAGTATGATTTTGTATTTTTTTTTTTTTTTGTGCTAGTAACTGAACCTCTTATATGCTTAGCAAGAACTCTAACCACTGAACTACCATGCAAGACGCCTGTGGTTGTTTGAATGTAATTGGCCCCCTATAGTCCTATAGGGAGTGGCACTATTAGGAGGTGTGCCCTTGCTTTAGGAAGTGTATCACTATTGGAGTGGGCTTTGAGGTTTTATATGCTCAAGCTATACCCAGGATGGCTCACAGTCTCCCTCTGCATCTTCCTGTGATCAGTTTGTAGAACTTCTTCTCCAGCACCATGCCTGCCTGCAGCTGCCATGTTTCCTGCCATAACAATAATGAACTAGCCAGCCCCAATTAAATGTTTTCCTTTATGAGTGTTGCCATGGTCCCATGGCCCTGATGTATCTTCACAGCAGTAAAATCCTAGACAACTCCTTTTTGTCTTTTTGTTTTGTTTTGTTTTCAAGACAGGGTTTCTGTATGTAGCTGTGTCTGTCCTGGACTCCCTTTGTAGACCAGGCTGGCCTCAAACTCACAAGAGATCTGCCTTCCTCTGCTTCCGTGAGTGCTGGGATTTCAGACATGTTCCTGCCACCATACCGGGCTCCTCTGTCACTTTTATAAAGATGTATTTGTGTGTTTTGGCTGCATGTATGTGTATTATATGTATATCTGGTGCCTGAGAAGCCAGAAGGCAGCACTGGGTCCCCTGAACTGGAGGTACAGGGGGTTCTAAGCCACTCTGTGGTACAAGAACTGAACCTAGGTTCTCTCAAAAACAGCAAGTAGTCTTAACCACTGAGCCACCGCCAACCCCTGCTTGTTTGTCTTTTAATTCAAGGGATTACAGACACATGTCCATGATTTTCATTTTACCTATCTGGATGACAGAACTACTCTAACACGTGCCACATCCATTTTAGTTAACAGAGAATGAGATACAACCTGTATTTTTATATTGTTATTAACAAAATCTAAATACATAATAACATTTCTGCCAACAATGTGAAATAATGACATCATAAAATTTTAAAAATTAAGAGGACTGGAGAGATGGCTCAGTGATTAGGAGCACTTACTGCTCTCACTGGGTTCAGTCCCAAACACCAATATCAGGGGGCTCACAACCACTTGTAACTCCAGTTCCAAGAGATCTGACACACATACATGCAGGCATTCACACATGCACATCAAACAATAACAAATCTTGTTTTAATCAAAATAATTTTTATCTTTCATATATGTGTGTCCTATAGTCAGCCACACTCCCATTTCTTACCTTCTTTATCTTAACATACCTCACTCCTACTTTCATGTCTTTAAAAAAAAAACCAAACAATTAAGTTTAATTAGTGTTGCCTGCATGTACATGGGTGTGAGGTTATTTGCTGGATCATGAGCAACTTACAAATTGCCAACTCCTACAATTAATTACTTTTTGTGACAAAGTTTTATGTAGTCCAGGCTGGTCTTGAACTCACTAAGTAGCAGAGGATAACCTTGAACTTCTGATCTCCCTGCCTCTCTACAGGTGTACATCACCACACCCAATTTATGTGGTATTAGGTATCAAACCCAGAACTTCACGAATGTGAGGCAAACACTACCAACTGAGCTATGTCACTAGCCCTCAATTTTTATTTTAAATTATATGTGTCTATTCTGTGATCTACTTATGCCTTATATTTTAGAAAGTCAAGTAAGTTTTGGAAACTTTACCTGCCCAGCCAAAGATCCGCAGGCACCTGCTGCTCCACTGACAACCATTGTCTGATTAGAGCCAGCAGATACGTGACCTTTTTCCTGTACTCCAATCAAGGAAGTCAAACCAGGCATACCTATAGCTCCAAGAAAATAGGAAAGATGTCCATCCACAAGTTGTGGGTCTACCTAAAATAAAAGATGCACATTTTAAACAACACCAAAATTACAGTTTTATGCCATGAAATTAGAAGGTTACAGACTGAATAGTGTTCCCCACCCAACTTCACATGTTAAATGTCTATATCCCTTAAGTATCAAGGATCAAGACCTTTAAGGTGATATTTGAAGGTAAATGAGGTCATAAAGTTGGGAACCTAATCCAGTACATGCACACCATTAGAAGAAGGAACAGATATAACACCCCTCACTGCCTGGAAAGAGCATTTGATGACACAGTAAGAAGGCATTTTCCTACAAGCTAAGAGAGAGCTTATCAGACACTAAATATTCTAGAACCTCAATCTTGAGTTTTCAACCTTTAGAAAAGGAAGTGAGTCTGTGTGGTGTTTTTAGTAGTCCAAACAGGGACTGGAGAGATGGCTCAGTGGTTACTACCTGGAAAAACAGGTAGTACTCTTCCAAAGGACCTGGGTTCAATTCCCAGCACCCACATGGCAGCTCACAACTGTCTTTAATGCCAAATCTAACAGATCTGACACCTTCACACTAATGTACATAAAATTAAATAAACTATTTTAGAAAAGAATTTTGGAGGCTGGCGAGATGGCTCAGTGGTTAAGAGCACTGTCTGCTCTTCCAAAGGACCTGGGTTCAATTCCCAGCAACCACATGGTGTCTTACAACCATATATAGTAAGAGCTGATGCCCTCTGATGCCCTGAGGCACACATGCAGGCAGAATACTGTATAAATAATAAATCTTTAGTAGTCCACAGTAAACCATTTTTTGATCTCGTTTAAATTCTACCATAATTATAAACAGTAGAAGCAAGTGAGTGCTAAGGGGATGGCTCAGTCAGTAAAGCACTTGCCTTGCAGTCATGAGTTCTGTGACTTCCAGAACACTTATAAAAATGCCAGGCATACCATTGCACTCCCAGTGGGAGAAAAGAGAAGTGATTCCCCGAGCTCACTGGCCATCTAACCTGGCTCACTCTCGGGCACTGTGAGAGGAGGTAGACAGCACTCCTCCAGACGGTAGGAGGCAGAAGCGCACCCAAAGTTGTCCTCCAGCCTCCTGTGCACACACACCCACGAGCACCCAAATCATCACAGTATATATCATCACAGGTACACAGTCTATACACATGAAAAGAAAGACTCGCTTCACAAAACAAAACAACTTTCAATTCTTACATAAAATTTTTTAGTGAATTCCCGATGTATGTATCAGTAGAGGGAAAAAATGCTTAATAGGAAAACGTAAGGCAAAGTCATACAGTTTTTAAATCCCTAATCAAATCCCAATTCCAAAATAAACATTTTGTGAAAGTAACTTTTATTTACTTTTTTTTTTTTTTAATGTAGTCTTGAAGGCTTACTGCTAACTAAGGCCTAGTCCGGGAAGCTTCTAGTCTCCATATAATATAATTTAGGCCTAGAATACTTTTAGCCTCTGAGATTTACTTCTGAATAAGCTTACCCTTTATAGCTCTTTTTGAACTCTGGCTGGCTTGTTCAACTCAGCTGTTCTGGCTCAAACTCCTCTCCAAGATGACTGATTCAAACTGGCTTCTGACTAAATTGTTCTGCTGGTCTCAAACTAACTCTAGCAATCAGTTCTAATCTTCCATCTCCTTCTCTGGTTCATTTTGTCTTCACCTGTGTCTAACTTGTTCTCTGTTCAACCTGTCTCTGTAAAACCCTCCCTGTAAAACTGCCTCTAAATTCCACAGACTGAACTGCCACAAAGTTGGCTACACAGCACTGCCTCTCAACTCACTGATGCAGCACACTGACTGACTGAACAGAATTGACTAGAACTCAGAGATCTGCATGTCTCAGTCTCCTGAGTGTTTGGAATTAAAGGCATGTACCACCATAGTGGACCTAAGCTTTTCTTTTCCTGAAACTTGCTCTATACAAGGCTGGCCCTGAACTCAAGAGATCTACTTGCCTCTGTCTCCTGGAATTAAATGTGGGTCTGTATTCCAGGTGGATCATACAGACCTAGGTTTTTGGATCTAATCTCTTGCCAGAACACCAATGTTCTGAATTAAAATTCCTCTACAACACTTATCTAAATTTCCAACTCATTTGAACAGAGACACTACGCAGGTAAATAAGCTGCTCCCAGAAGCCATAGATTATGAAATTAAATTCCCAGGCCAGGGTTGGGCTACTTCCCTTCAAGTTGTTGGTAACAAAGGCCCCAGAATAATAAAGGCAATTGCCATGGATGTTGGTTGTCCACCAGAACTAGATAGTGAGATCCTAACTGCCTGCTCGGGTGGCCAGCCATAGACAAAGCTAGGTGTAACTTAGCTAGAAGCTCCCTCTACTGGCTAGTCCTAACAGTGCTGGAAGGTGCCACGCAAACTGCTGGGCTAAGAAACGGCATCAGTACTCTTACCCAGTTGTGGACATTGTATGCAACAGTATCAATCTGCTAGGCAAATGTGAAGTAGCAAGTGTGTCACAGACAACCAACTACTTTCTACGTGGATGTGAGAACCAGTTCTCGAAGAAGATATTCACATCTGGAACTATAAACCTGGCCAGAAGCCTGTGGCCAGGGAGGTCACAGCCCTAATGGAGAAGCTACTGAATTTGCTTTGCTAAATGGACAAGATGTGCCTGTCAGATTCCCTTCTAAGTAAGGTTTCTGCCCACAGACTAATGTTGCTGTCAGTTTTGGTCAGTTTCTTTTTGCAGTAAGTAGTAGTAACTGCATAGACTCACAGCTGAGCAAAGTGCCAGAATAAGTGGCTGTTGAAAGCCAAGCCACAACTGAGACCTCAGCATTACCCACTCTAATGAGAGAACAGGAAAGGAGAGGGAACAGAAAGAATAGGAGAGCTATATGAAGGGATAACGTTGTGGAGACATGTCTTCAAGGCATGGCATGGCCATTACAGTCCAACTCAGACCAGCCATGATTATCTGCCTAAAACCTGCACAAGGTGGAGAACATCATCTCCTGGGAGGTAGGGGCTCACAAGAACCACTCCCTGGGAATTTGTACGCAGTCACATGTATTTTTAGGCACACGTATGTAATGTAAAGTCTAAAACAGAGGGGCTGGGGATGAAGCTCGGTTGGTAGAATGCTTGCCTAGCATGTATATAAAGCCCTGGCACCAAGCCCCAATACCACATTAAAAAAAAAAAGAGGCATATGCTTATATACACATGTAATTCTAGCACACAGGAAGTTGAGGCAGGAAGACCAGAAGTTCAAGGTCATCCTCTGCTATACAGTCAGTTCAAGGCCAGCCTAGACTACATGAAACCTTGTCTCAAGAAGATGGACCATGGGGGGCTGGAGAGATAGCTTAGCAATTAAGGGCACTGTCTGCTTGGATTTGATTCTCAGTGCCCACGTGTTGGCTTACAACCATCTGTAACTCCAGTTCCAGGGAATCTGACGCCATTTCTGGCTTCCTCCAGTGTTAAGCATACAAGTGGTGCACAAACATGTACCATGCAGCAAAGCATCCAAGCACAAAAAGCTTTCAAAAATAGTTCTTTCAGGTTGGACGTGGTGGTACATGTCTTTAATCTTAGCACTCAGAGCACAGGATAGCAGATCTTTGAGTTCAAGGACAGCCTGGTCTGCACAGCAAGTTATTTTTGAGACAGGGTTTCTCTGTGTAACATTTCTGGTGTCCTGGAACTCTCTCTCTGTAGACCAGGCTGGCCTCAAACTCACAAAGATCCACCTGCCTCTGCCTTCCAAGTGCTGGGATTAAAGGCATGCACCACCATCTGGCTTAAATAATATTTTAAAGATGAGGACCATGATGACATTCAGGGAGATAACAAAAGGCAAGGTTTTTATCATTTTGTTTTGCTTTTTACAGTACTGGTAATTAGACCCAGAACCAGAAAACTGGGTCTGAACTACAATAGCCTTGAGGCAAGAGTCGTTTAAAGGCAAAGTGAGGGAAAATCATTTTCAGAATTAATCTTGTCTCTAAGGATCAATACCTAGGGTGCTATGAGCCCAGCAACTGACAGTTAGGCGTCTTCCCTACAGGTGACCTTTGTGTAAGGTTTTTCAAAATCATTATGTAGTTCCTTTTTCTTTTTAAGACAGGACGTTACTATGCAGCCTTGGCTGGCCTTGGACTCACTAAAGTAGAGCAGGCTGGCCTGGGACTTAAGAGATCCATCTGCTTTACCTTCCCAAGTACTAGAATTAAAGGCATATGCCACGCCATCCAGCTCTATAACAGTTACAGTTTTCTAAGAGTCCTTCCTTCACGGCTGCCCAAGCCATTTTGTTAAGTTTGAAACATACAAGTGATAACACTTATGCATCAGCAGCTCTCACAAGCTGGTTAAGGATCTGTAATTATTAAAAATACAGCTGGGCGGTGGTGGCACATGCCTTTGATCCCAGCGCTTGAGAGGCAGAGACAGGCAGATCTGTGGCTGCAATGCCAGTCTGGTCTACATAGTGAGTTCCAGGACAGCCAGGACTAAGTAGAGGGACCCTGTCTCAAAAAAACAAAAATATAGTATAGTATTCAAAACGGTATTTTCCCTGATGATCATTTACGTCACATTACATGAAGTTGCCAGTTTCTGTAAGTCACAACAAGCCATTTTACATGGCTCAATGACTAAAATCTGGATTTCTGACTGAGATGAATTTCAATCAAGAAATAAATATATTCCTCATATATTTAAGTTCTCAGGAACTTTAGCATATCTAATTATAGGGGGATTTCTAGGGTTTTTTGTTGTCATTTGGTTTTTCAAGACAGAATTTCTCTGTGTAGCTTTAGCTGTCCTAGAGGGATTTCTAGTTCTTGGCATTAGATATTTTTATGTTTATAGCTCAGCTTTATATTTTTTAAATTTTATTTTATTTTAATTAATTAGTTTATTCACTTTGTATCCCAGCTGTAGCCCCTCCCATCCCAATTCCACCATCCCTCCCTCTTCTTCTCCTATGCCCCCCAGCTTTATGTTATATATTAAATTTGAGATGATAATGGTCTCTGGTGGGATGTGACAGCCAACAGTAGAAACACAAAGGTTTTCCTCACTTTGGCATTATTTTTATTGTTGGCATTATATTTTTACACTTGGCGTTATTCACATTTTCTAAAAGTAAATTTCTAACAAAATAATATATGAGTACAGAAATAATAATAAGAATAAAGGGAGAAAAAAATCAGAAAGGCTTATATTATACATCACCTTTTCAAGGCCATTCCCATCTAGAATTGCCTTAGTTTGCCAGGGCCAAAAAAAAGAAGTCACAAAATCGCCTTTAGCCAAATTTATGTGCTTGCTCTCTTCTATAATTCCAATACCTCCACCATCAACCACCTGAGACAGCTGCCAGGGTGCTAAATAGTCGGCGCCAGTGTCTTCATTCATCTTACAACGCTGGGGAAAAGAAAGCATTCATTAAGGTACGTTTAACTTACCCAACTGAAAACTTACGACTCTCTTTTTCTAGCCCTTTCATTTTTAAACTTTATTTTTGTTTCATGGGCATTGGGTCTCCTGGAAGCTACAGATAGTGGTGAGCTGCCATATGGGTGCTGGGAATTGAAACGTGGTCCTCTGGAAGAGCAGCGAGGCCTCTTAACCAGAGCCATCTCTCCAGCCAGCCAGCCATCTGTCTGTCTTTGGTTTTTTGAGACAGGTTTCTATGCGTACCCTTGGCTGTACTAGATTTGCTTTGTAGACCAGGATGGCCTTGAACTCACAGGGATCCACTTGCTTCTGCCTCCCCGAGTGCTGGGATTACAGATGTGTGCCACTGCCCAGATTTTTCTTTTTTTTTTCCTTTTTTTTTTTTTTAATTCTGCAAAATTTGGCAAAAAACCACATACCTGCCTCTTACCAGTGAAGAAATACAACTGAAAAGAAATTAAGATCTGTTCCAAATGAGATTGTAGTAATCAAAACAGTATGGTAAAAATGACACATAAATTAAGGCCACTGAGATGGTTCGGCAGGTAAAGGCACTTGTCACCAACTTACCAGACAATATGAGTTCAATCCCTAAGACTCATGATGGAAGAAAAAAAAGAAGCAATTCTCAGAAGTTATCCTCCGACCTCCGCATGTGCGCCATAACACTCATGTGTGAGCACATACAAATATACAAACACATGCACATAAATGTAATTTTAAAAAATTTTTAAATGAGTGGGGCTCATGAAGGAAATTATCTAAAACCCAGCTTTTCCTTTTGGAAGTTTTTTTTTTAATTTTTTGTTTTATATGCTTTAGTGTGATGGTGTCAGATCCCTTGGATTGGCTTTACAGACAGTTGTGAGCTGCCACATGGGTGCTGGGAACTGAAACCAGGTCCTTTGGAAGAGCAGACAGTGCTCTTAAGCACTGAGCCGTCTCTCCAGTCTCCCATCCTTTAGGAAGTTTTAAAAACATCAACACTGCACGGAGCAGTGCGTGTGTCTGTAACCTCAGCACTGGTGGGGCCAGGGCTGGAGCCAAGCAGATCCTGGAGGCTTGCTCACACGCCAGTCTGTCTGAGTCAGAATCTCCAGGTTCAGTGAGAGACCCTGTCTCAAAGGAGTAAAGCGAGCCAGAGAGGAGTCTGACCCTGGAATGTACATAAAGCTGGAAGGACAGCACTGACTCCACAGAGCTGTCCTCTCCTCTTCACATGTATGCCCTAGCACATGCGTGCCTGCCCACAGATCACACATATGCATGTGCACACACAAACTGATTTTAAAAAGAAAGTGGGGCTGAAAGATGGCTTAGTGGTTATAGTTAACACAAATTGTTTACAGACAGACAAAAAGGAAAACACTCCAATTTATTTTATCAGTCCGGGGAGATGGCTCAGCAGATAAAGGTGATTGCTGCCAAGCCTGATCCCCAGAACTCAAATGGTAGAAGGACAGAATAGACTCCTTCCTGCGAGTTGGCCTCCATACATGTGCTGTGGCTTATGCACATCCATGCATGCACACGTGCACACATACATACACACTGAAACATTTTAAACAAAAAGAGAACTGGAAGACTCATAGTTGCTACTTTCCAAACTTAGTGCAGTCATAATAATCAAGATAGCAAGGCACATTTAGATAGACACACACATTAATGGAATAAGATTTGAGTCTAGAAGTAAATTCTCACTTATGGTCAACTTATTATTTATGCATTTATTTATTTCCTTATTTATTTTTGAGGCAAGGTCTCACTGTACCTTAAGCGAGCCTCAGATTTGCAGTGACCCTCCTGCCTCAGATGCAGTGCTGGGATGCAGGATGAGCCACCAGGACCACTCATGGTCAGCTGATTTTTAGCAAAGGTACTCTGAGCAAAGTAGCAATTTCATCATTTCAACAAGTGATGTTGACACAACTGCATATCCACTGCAAAGACTGAAGCTGGACCCTGTGATGATCCATCTGGGCTATCAGTGGAGGTTGTAGTTCAATGGTAGAGTGCTTGTCTAACATCCCCCCCGCAAAAGAAAAAAAAAAAAAGAGGAAGGAAAAAAAAGAAAGCAAAGAAAGGGGAAAGGAGGAAGCCTTTTAATTTTAGATGTCTATCTGATTAGAGAGATGCTTACTTGATTCATAAAATGTTTCTGGCCAAGCAGTGGTGGTACACACCATCATTCCCAGCACTTGGGAGGCAGAGGCAGGCAGATCTCTGTGAGTTCAAGACCAGCCTGGTCTACAGAGTGAGTTCCAGGACAGCTGAGGCAACACAGAGAAATCCTCCTGAAAAACCAAAAAAAGAAAAGTTTGAGTACATCTGAGGGCTTTTTCTGAGGAATCTGCTTATAAACTGGTGGGCTGTTAGATTTGCCTGCAAGGCACCATCTAGTCAGGTAGTCAGGGGCTGGATGAAAAAAACAAAACCACCTGGAATATGGATGCATCTGTTCCTCCTTTGGAAGGGACACCTTTCTGGGACATGCATTTCTAAGGGGCAAGAGCAGCAGCCTCACAGGCTCTCAGGCCTTCCATTATCTGCTTTCCTGCTTCGCAAGTCGTCCTCCGACTCAGACTGTGCCAGGCTACAGGCTTCTTTGGTTTTCTGGTTTATAAATGGATTTTTTTCAGTTTCCATAACTGTATAAGCCGACTGCCCTAACAAATCCCCTCATCTACCTGTCTATAACTGTATCCATGTCCTACCATTTCTATCTCCTTGGAACTGTACTACAGATCCACACACAAGTATTAACTCAAAATAGGTCACAAATGTAATTTTAGGGCTTAAACTATAAACCTCTTTGAAGAAAAGTTAGGGTTAAATTTTCATAATGTTGGGTAACAAGAGAAAAAGTAATAAACTAGACTTTATTAAATGAACAACTTTTGTGCTTCAGCAAGAAATATATTGTCATTGCAATACAGCACAAAGACAATCCATAAAACAGGAAATAATTCTTACAGAACAGATATGTGGCGGGGTTTATATCTAGAAAACAAAGAATGTAACTCAATAATAGAGATAATTTATATATTTTTTTTCTTTTTTGAAACAGGGTTTCTCTGTGCAGCCTTGGTTGTCCTGGACTTACTCTGTAGACCAGGCTGGTCTCGAACTCACAAAGATCTACCTGCCTCTGTGTCCTTGAGGGCTAGGATCATAGGTGTGTGCCACCACGCCTGGCTAACTTGTATCTTTTTAATTTTCCTGAAATTTGAGACATTTCTGATCTTTTTCAGATTTACTATTTTTTTTCTGTGAATTGATGTTTTGCCTGCATGTCTGTATGTATATCATGTGTGTACCTCGTGCCTAACAAGTTTAGAAGGGGATGTTAGACCCTTGTATCTGTGAGCTACCTACCATATGGGTGCTGGGAATAAAATGTGGGTTCTGTGCAACAGCAGTAATTGCTCTGAACTGCTGAGCCATCTCTTCAGCCACAAGTAATTAAATTTTAAGATGCTCAAGTACTCTGGGTAGATAGTTCTTCAAAGAAGACATACAAATGGCCTATAATCACATGGAAATATGCTTAAAATTACCATGAAAAAAAAAACAAAACCAAACCAAACAAACAAAACCGGGGCTGAAGAGATGGCTCAGAGGTTAGGAACACTGTCTCCTCTTACAGAGGTCCTGAGTTCAATTCCCAGTAACCACAAGGTGGCTCACAACTATCTATAATGGGATCTGGTGTCCTCTTCTCATGTGCAGGTGTACACGCAGACAGAACATTATATACATAATATATAAATAAATCTTAAAAAAATCCACACTGAGATACTTCTTCACACCAAGTAGAATGTCTATAATAAAAGACAAATGTTAGTGCGATTGTGGAAAGGTTAAAGATCTTTGCTGCCGACAGCACTGTAATACACTGTGATCACTTCAGAAAACTATCTAGAAGCGAACAATTTTATCTCCAGGTACATACCAAGAGAAATGAAAGCAGTCTACAGAAGAATTGGTGCCCAAACGCTCATAGCGTTACTGTGACTGCCACATTACGGAATCAACCGAGGCTTATGTGACAGTGTCACAGTATAAGCATGGGGGTCAGGATAACGCACAGGAGGTGGTCTCTCCTTCCACCTGTGGGTTCTGGGGATCAAACTCAGGCTGTGCTATCTCAAATTTTTCATACTATTTTACTACCTTAATTTAAAGCTCACTTACGACTCAGAAGTAACGTGGCCATTTGGAAGAACCTCATTAACCACGTCAACTATTGTAAGTTCATTTTTCTACAGGTTTTTGTGGGGTTTCTTTGTTGTTGTTGATGTTGTTGGGGTGTTTGGGTTTCTTGTTTGTTTGCTTTTGTTTTTGAGGAAGGGTCTCACTCTATAGCCTTGGCTGTCCTGGAACTATGTAGACCAGGCTGACCTTGAACTCATAGAGATTCGCCTACCTCTGCCTTCCAATGCTGAACCAAAGGTATACACCACCACTCCCAGCTTGTGATATTCTTTTATAGCACCAGTGAATGAAAAAGAAAGGTTACTTATAATTCACAGACATAAAGGCATGATTTCTCATTTATTAGTCATACAGAAAGCACAATAAAATTCTGATGCAACAACATTAAAATTTAAAAAAAAAACATAATTATTTTTCATCAACTTACAAGATCTTGCTTCTTACCATGTAAGGATCCACAGAGAGATAAAGAGTTCTAACTTGAACCTGTCCTTCATTGATAGTATCTGGTAAACTGACTTCTTCCAACCTGAAATTCTCTGCCACTGGATTTCCATTTTTCCCTAAATTTTCAGACAAAAATATGAAATTAAAAAGTTGTTTTGTTTTGTTTTTTCCTTCAATCTCACTGACTTCTCTAAATGTAGACCAGGCTGGCATCCAACTCAGAGATCCACCTGCCTCTTCCTCCCATGCTAGGACTAAAGGTGTATGCTACCATGCCTAGGGAAAGAAAGTTACTTTCTCGTATCTTTATTATTTTCTAAATGTCACCGTAATATTTAAAGTATCCCTTTTAATTCAAACATAGTAAATTTTCAAATAGTTCCCATCACTCCTGATTTTAAGTTCTGAAAGACTCTTTAAAACTTCTAATTAAAATAAATATTTTAAATAACATTCTGTTTCAAAATGACAGGGTTCTGAGAGCGAAAAACTCCACTCTTGTGTGGTCAATGGGGCTGGTGCACACACTTAATCCAGCACTTGGGAGGCAGAGGCAGTGAACTCTAACCTGCAGAGACCACTTAAAAAATGGGAGACAGGAGGACAGGAGGCTGGGGGAGGTGGGGTGTGTGACACAGGATGACTGGAGAGATGGCTCGGTGGTTAGAGTGCCCACTGATCTTCCCGGGGCCTGGGCTTTGATTCTGAGCACCCAAGTGGCTGCTAACAACCACCGTAACTCCAGCCCCAGGGGATCCAATGACCTCATCTGGCCTCCATGGGCACTGCATGCACATGGTGTACAGACACACATGTTGGCAAAACACTATACACATAAAGTAAGTTGCCCCCCCCAAAAAAAAATTGAACCCAACATTTTCTTTTAATTATGGAATTAAAACTTACAAAATAACAGAAAAGCCAAAGTAAAAGTTAGGTAAGTTTTCCATCCTCATTTTAAGAAACAAGTAGAGGCTTATGTGAACATTTTTTTTAAATACATTTACACACACACACGTGTGTATGTGCGTATATGTACATATATATATATATATAAAACATGTAGGAGTGCACTGCCTGCATGTATAATTGCACTCCACAAGAGGGCATCAAATCCCTTTACAGATGGCCGCAAGCCACCATGTGGTTGTAGGAATTGAATTTATGACCTCTGGAAAAGCAGAAGGTGCTCTTAACCACAGGACCATATCATCAGCCCTTCTTGTGTTTTAAATTCTCAAAAATAAGGTAACTAGAAATTTTAACGTATGAGAAAAATTTTAAACGTATGTTTAAGCAGAAGCTATTATCACTACAAGGTACTCATTGAATTACACTTAACACCAGCTAACGTCCTTTCAAGAACCATCTGTCTGATTTCCAAGGTAGGATCCAAGTAAGGTTTCAAACTAACTGTTCACAACTCTAAACTGTGGGCAGAAAACATGGTAGGCAAGCCACAAAAGAGTCATGGGACAGTGAGCCAATACTTCTTGGGTTACTTCCACACCCATGGTTCTGTGATCCAGGCACACATCAGCATTGACCGAAGAGTTTACACATAAAATAAGGAGCAAATTTTAAGAATCAGTTACATCTACCATAAGAAAAAATCTACAAATATACCTCAATATACCTTCAATATAACCTCTCAAATATTATGATTCAAATGGCCTTGAAGAGTTAACATCTAAAATGTTTCCTCTAATATATTTACTAGTCTTTTTTTTTTTTTTTTTTTTTTTAAGACTAGGTTTCTCTGTGTAGCCTTGGATGTCTGAACTTGCTCTGTAGACCAGACTGGCCTCAAACTTAGAGATCCAAGATTTACTAGTCTTAATTTACTTTACTCCCTTAGTTTAGTACACTTACATCATGTTAGTTTTATTCTTCCATGTGCAGCTATAATTACCAGAGAGCAATTGTAATAAATACATAGTAATACATACCAGGTCGGGAATTCAATACCACTCTTTGTACAATCATCACTCTATTTGTGCAAATAGTTTCACAAGACTTCTATATAAAATCATTCCTACAATTAGAAAAAAAATCATTAGAAAGATACGGAGTATTCAATTTTTAAAAAATTAAAAATCCAAGCTGAGCACAGGACAAATGCCTGTGATCCCAGCATTCAGGGAAGCAGAGACAGGCAGACCTCTTTGAGTTCGAGGCCAGCCTGATCTATAAAGCGCATCCAGGACAGCCAGGGCTACATACAGAAACCTCGTTTAGGAAAAAAAACAACCAGGGCTACATACAGAAACCTCGTTTAGAAAAAAAAAAACACCTCCATTTATGTTTCTCAGTAGAGAGGATAAAAACTTTTAGAAGCTTAAAAAAGGGCTAGAGAGATTGCTCAGTGGTGAAGAGCACTGGCTGATCTTCCAAGGAACCTAGCACTCACATGGCAGCTCACAGCTCCAGGACTGGGGATCTGAGACCCTCTGCTGTTCTCCTCAGGTACTACATACATGTGGTATTCGGACACACTTGCAGGCAAAACACCAATACATGAACTAAAAACAGCAGAATCTGAAAGAATTATATAATAGCCTTCTGTCAGTTTCCCTCCTAAAGTAAACATGGAGAAAACCAATTAAGTCAAATTAGAATTCTTAGATGATAGGAACAAGTTCACAAACATTGGAAGAAAAAAAATGGCTTGGTTTTAGATAACTCTGGACACTTAACTTCACACCATCAGTGTTAAATACCTTACCAAGGCTTAAAAACAAACCATCTCTTGTTCCTCCAGAGTTAGACAGTTATGCAAACTATAAATATACAAGGCACTAACCTAGGAACTAGACACACAGCTCAGCAGTAAAGCACTTGCCTACCCTATGTATAGCCAGGATGGGATCCCAGATTCCACAAAACAAAAACCTTAACTTCGTGGTAAGCAAGATGGCTCAGTGGGTAAAGGCTGATGCCAAGCTTAATGACCTGAGTTTGTTCTCCAGGACCCACATGGCACAAAGAAAGAACTGACTTCCCAAAGTTGTCCTTTGCTTTCCACAGGACCCTGACACCCACATATAATAAATTAAAAAGTATTTTTAAACAACTGTTTAGTTGGACACCATAATACACATCTTTTATATCTGCACTCTGGAGGCAGAGGCATGTAGATCTCTGTGAATTCAAGGCTAGCCTGATCTACAAAGTGAGTTCCAGGCCAGTCAAAACCACAGTGAGACTGTCTCAAACAAAACAAACCGCCAAAAATAACAAAACAAAAAAACCTCTTCAACTGGAATACACCAAATTTTCAAAGGTTCTTTTGCATACGTGTATGTTGAGTGTGTATGCTGACACACACAAGTACAAATGTGGAAGCCAGGTGTTAACCTCGGCTGGTGCTGGGTTCCGTAATAAATCAGGGCAAGTCATAATTAACAAGCCAGTAAGCAGCACTCCTTCAAGGCCTCTGAATGACTTCCTGCCCTGCAGGAGTGCCTGCCCTCACTGCTTTTGATTCACTAGTTTTGTTGTTGTTTGTTTGTTTTATTTTGAGGGCTTTTTGTTTTTGTTTGTTTGCTTGTTTGTGTCAAGACAGGGTTTCTCTGTGTATCCCTGGCTGTCCTGGACTTGCTTTGTAGACCATGCTGGCCTCAAACTCAGCGATCCACACCTGCCTCTTCCTCCCGAGTGCTGGGATTACAGGCGTACAATAATGCACTGTTAAATGGAACTGTGAGCAAAACTTCCCCAACTTGCTTTATTTTGGTCCTGGTGTTTTATCATATCAATAGTGACCCAAACTTAGATAGTTTTGCTTAGTATTGAAGTAAATACAAGGGGCTGAAGAGATGGCTCAGTGCTGCTCTCTCAGAGAATCTAGATTTGATTTCAGTATCCATATGGTGGCTCACAGCCATCTCTAACTTCAGTGTCAGCTGACCCTATGCCCTTTTCTGGCTTCCACGTGAACCAAGCTTGCACATGGGGCACAGACATATAGAACACCCCTACACATAATACTTTCTTTAAAAAGTAATATATCAAAGCATCTGCTCTCTCTCACTCTTCCCGATACAGGGTTTCTCTGTGTAGCGTTGGCTATTCTGGACTCACTTCACAGATCGGGCTGGAGATCCGCCTGCCTCCGCCTCCCTGAGTGTGTACTACCATGCCTGACTCACTCTCTTTCTATAGTACTGTAGTTGAATTTAATACTTGTTCATAACACTCCCTGAGCACCACCACTAGCCCCTTAAAAAATACTAACTCTGGGCTGGAAACATGGCTCAATTGTCTAACAAGGCTAGGTTTACAACTAAAATATTTATGTTGAGACAGTCTGCCTGTTGCCCAGATGGCCTCTACCTTGCAACATCCCAAACAGATTAGGATTATAGGTACATTCTATCACATCCACATACATCAAAGCATTTTTAAATCTTCAACTTACTGAAAATTCATGTAGAAAAGCCAAAAGTTAAGTGAAAGTTGTTTTTTTTTTTAATTTGAGTTTATAATTTAAGCTAGCAAATGAAGCAAACTGAATTTTCAGTTCAGCACTATCTGAATAGAAATCCCTTTGCTTCATCGGTAAAAATAAAATCAAACCCTTACTGTACTGTTGTAGATACTGTATCTATGTGGGCTCTCATTTAATCACCTAACAGTAGAGTGGGCCCCTCTGTGTGCTTGTGAGCACACACATGCATGAGTGTACACTGTTGTGCATACATCACAGTGCTCGGGTTAGGTCCAAGGACAGCTCTTGGGAACTGGTTCTCTTCCGTCACTGTGTGGGATGGAGGGATTGAACACAGGCTATCAGATCATGGGCACCACCTCTACCTGCTGAGCCATACCTCCACCGTGAAGGGGAAGCAACTGCATCTTAGAGGGCGTGGCAGAGCCTGGAGTGATGAGCCAACTGAGATCTAAACTGGTCTGACCCTGGACAGCCAGAGTCTTTACTACTTCAATGACACTTTCCACACTGCATGTTTAAGCTGATCATTAATTTTTAATAGGCAGATAGGATTTGCGGATTTTTTTTTCCTGCTCATTTGTGATGACTTGCTTAATTAGTATTTACATGGATATGGTTAATTTACAGAAAAAAAATTGCGAAGATTCCATTACTACTTCTTGCAACAAAGTTATAGACATAAACGCAATCAATATCCCATACCCCTGAGCTGTGCAGCCAGAGAGTCAACTATGAATTGGAAGTATTGAAGGAAAAAAAAAAAAAAAAAAGCCAAGCATGATGGCACATGCTTTTAATCCCAGCACTCAGGGAGGCAGAGGCAGGCAGATCACTGTGAGTGTGAGGCCAGCCTAGTCTACAAAGTGAGTCCAGGACAGCCAAGGCTACACAGAGAAACCCTGTCTCAAAAAACAAAAACCAAAAGCCAGTCATAATCTCAGCACTCAGGTGTCTGAACCAACAGGCCAGTGTGATCAAGCAGCCTTGACTACATAGCAAAGCCCCACCTCAGTAAATAAGTAAGCAAATAAATACTAAATATTTAAGAATATTAAGAGATACTCTCACGTTATTCTTTGAGCAACTGTTTACATAGTTTATATTGTGGTGGGTATTGTAAGTAATGTAGAAATGATTTAAGTTTACAGGAAGACATGTTTAAGGAATCTGGATATTCTGCAAATTTTGATGTCCATTGATACCAACAGGATCCTGAAACTTTTCTGAGTAGATCTGGAGAAATTATATCCATTATTAAAATAACTTCATTGTACAAGAAAATTGAGTATGGTGTGTGCCCATGAAGCACAGGCAAAGGAATTGGGACTGAAAGACAGTACCTCCTTATCCCAGCTCTCACAGCTAACCATACTTCCCACTATTTCCCCACTATCTCCCCTAAAGGATGTTTTCATACACTGCCATTTTGCTACCCCAACTCTCCTGCAGGTGCTCAACTCTACAGGAGAACAATTCTGCTTTTTGTTTGCTTCTTTGTTTTGTTTTTAGTCAGGGTCTCATATGTAGACCAGGCTGGCCTCAAACTCAGAGATCTGCCTGCCTCTTCCTCTAGAGTACTGGGTTTACAGACTTACACCACCACACCCAGCCCCAGTTCTGTTCTTTATCAAGAATTAAGAATGAAGTGTCAGGACTGGAGAGCACTTGCTGCTCTTGCAGAGAACATGGGTTCAGTTCCTAACACCCACATGGTGGCTCACCACTATTTGTAACTTCAGTTCCAGATGACCCCGTCTTCTGGCCTCCTCAGGCACTAGGCTGCACCTGATGCACAAACACGAAGCTCAACACTCATACACATAATGATTTTTAAAATGTGTTTAGGATTGGAGCCACGGCTTAGTAGGACAGCACTTGCCTGGCTTGTATGAGGTCCTAGGCTTGAAACCTAGGACCCACAGAGGTAAAAGCACTAAATGTCGGATGTTGGTAACAGTTAGTAAGACAGGATGAAGAATACAGAAGCACATCTTACTCCTTTGATTTCTCTAATGTACATAGATAATCTCATGGGTGGTGGCAGAAACGGCTAGTTGCTCTCAAATTCACTCTTTGGGACACAATTCAAGATAAAACATTTTCCCAATTTCTCTTAAAGCAATCCCACTTTCATCCTGTTTTCATTAAAAAATCTTTCAGTTACATTTCCCTAGCAACATAAATACTATGCCATTCCTAACAGCAACAGCAGCACAGGTAACTCCTTCTCCTCTAACTTCTAATGCTAAGTCTGACAGCCCAAATGCCTGGTGGATGTTTTCAGTTGATGACCAGAAACAGGATGCAGGGTTCACACACTGTACTGGAGTCTCTCATTCCTTTCTATTTCATAGTCTTTGCTCTGTCCCTTCACTCTTGTGTGGAATGTCCTGATTGGTTCCCTAGTGCTCTCTGCTGTGTTCTTCTATTTTCTTCTCTTATTTGAAAACGATAGGTAGATTTGGAGGCCTGATGAGATTCAATTTTCTCTTTCTCCCATTATCAGGGATTGTACCCAGATCCTGGCATACTGGAGGCCAGTGCTTCAATTCTTGGGGGTAGGGGGGAGGGAAGGAGTAAGAATCTTTGAAGGTGGTGCTGTCTACATCTTGTTTCATCACATCATTTTGTTTGTAGAGCTTGTACGTGTGTTGGTATTTTGGTTGTTGTTTTTCGAGATAGGGTTTCTCTGTGTAGCCTTGGCTGTCCTGGACTCACTTTGTGGACTAGGCTGGCCCTGGACTCACAGAGATCTATCTGCCTCTGCCTTCCAGAGTGCTGGGACAACTGGCATACGCCACCACGCCGGGCTAAGAGACATTTTCTATGGAATTACCATGTATAAAAATTATATAAAAATTAAAAAGTAAGTTTACTCAGCTACAGCTTCTCAGCCTATCCTGGAGTACTTAATTAATTATACTATGATGACTAAATTTTCAGTCAAAGGAGTGTTTCCAAGTTGCCTGAGTTTCTCTTCCTGCTGTTGTGATAAAATGCCCTGAGGAGAGCAACTTAAGGGAGAAGAGGTTTATTTTGGCTCACAGTTGAAGGTTATACAGCCTGTCATGGAGAAGTCCTAGCAGGTGCTTGAGGCAACTGGTCACTCACACCCAGTCAAAAACAGAAAACAATGAATTCTGGTGTTCCTAGCTTTGTCCTTTTTATTCAGTCCAGGACCCAAACTTAGAAAATGGCGACACCCAGCTGCAGTTAACCTAAAATCAAGCTAATCCCACACAGGTGTGCCTGGGGCCTGCCTGTTGAGAGCTTCCGGACCCTGCCAATTGGACAGACACTGTTCACCCTCACACAGTGAAGTTTCCTATGCTCTACTTTCAGCATTAGGCTTTATTTCTCTAAAATATGCATAAGAGAGACAAGCATGATGTCTCCCACCTATAATCCCAGCACTTGGGCAGTAGAGGCAAAAGGACTGAGTTGAAAGCCAGCCTGCGGTACAAGAGACTTTGTTTCAAAAACCAAAACATAACACAGTATAATAACCCACATGGCGATATATGCCTGTAATTCCAGCATTCCAGAGGCTGAGGCCTGAGGATCTCAAGTTGAAGGCCAGCCTGGGAGATCCTATCTACAAAAGAGAAAAATCTAAGGCTTAGGATGTAGCTCAGTGGTGAAGCATGCAAAGCATTCTGCTAACTGCACCACAAAACAAAATGAATATGACATGTCAGGTCTGCCTGGACACTGCTTGTCATCATGAAAAGGGTGCTATTATAGTTCCCTCTGTTTTAAATCAATAATCTTCATATGCCAAACATAATAACTGCAGCATAACAATCAACACACTCAAATTATGCAGAATTTCCCCTGGATTGGAACCCCAGCATGACCAAAAAAAAAACAAAAACAACAACAAAAAAAAAAATCAAAAAACAAAAACTTTGATTTACTCACAAACTTTCCATCTATAATAAGACAGATCAAATTCAAGATCAGAAGGGTAGTGGGTTAAGAGTCATAGCAAGTGAGGTGGGGTAAACAGCAGCAAATCTCATTTGCCTGTTAAATTTAGTGGTTTTCTAATTGGTGCAACTATTCCAAGATATGGTTCACTAACAGTCATAAAAAAATGTCTTGAGTGTCTGTGTAGCAGCCTAAAGGGAAAAGCTCACTGAATTCACGACAGCAGAGAACAAGTTCTGCCTCAAGCCAGGTGGGACCTTGGAAAAGTCTTCTCACCTTACTTCCTGAATGTGTCTGGGTGTAATCCCCGTTACGGCACAGTACAGTGCAGGGGTGGCAAGTTCAAGGCCAGCATGGGCAAATTAGTGAGAACCTGTCTCAAAATAAAAATGAAAACAGACGGCAATACAAGACAGTGGTTTAAAAAAAAAACAGAAACAAAAAACAAACTTGCCTAGCGGTACACTGGGGTGGGAGGGTGAAGAGATGATCTTTGTTCAATTCCCAGCACAGAAAAAAAGAAAGACACATTAATTAGTTTGCTTAAATAGAACCCCCTCCTCCAACACCACCATCATGAAGTTGCAGAAATCCTCGCCTTTCCTCAGAAAAATAAAAGGTTGAATGACTTGTCCAAGGTCGCACAACCTGCACGCACACTCGAACCCATCCTAACACACCATTTTACAACATCAGCTTCCTAATAAGATGCTGTGGAGTCGAATCCAAGCCCCGGAAATCTTCTAATATAACACGCTTTGTACTTATCCGTATTTTGTTCAACCATTCTGCCACCCTGGGCTCCACTGACCTTTCCTGTGCCCTCTCTGCCATCACGTGAGAATTCCCTTCCTCAGAAACCCAACCTTCCCCGAGGGCTCCTACTACCAATCACTTCCACAGAAATTACTAGAATTTCAAACCGACTTCCTACAGCGTCAGCACCAAGAGGATAAAGCTGCGTGTCAGCTTCTGCACACCCCTTATGCGTAGCACACAGCAGGTGCTCAACAGAGGTTCAAACCTGAAGCACCTCCAACACAATCATGCCCAAACGTCACGCTGTTTACCCTAAGAGCTCTTAAAAACGAAGAACACCTGTTATCGGGCACGCTCTAGGCTAGTGTCCCAGGCTAGACCGCAGCCGTGGCCAGGAGCTCGGCGAAGACGCCCACGGATCACCCCGGCTCGGAGTTTCCTCCTTTCCCACGGCCCTCAACCAGCTTCCGGGCCCGGATGCCTGCTCTTCTGGTCGCCTGGCATCTCGCGGGATTTGAGGAACAGCGAGGGGCCGGCTGGCGGCACGACCTTAGCCCTAGGACCACACTGCGCAAGCGCAGGACTAAACCTGGCTCGGTTCCCCGTCCCAGGGCCAGGATTTTGGAGTTGGTCTCCGTGGTTGCTGAGGGCAAAGACGTACAGGACACGTTGGTAGTCAAGGCAAGGAGCAAGCATAAATTAACCCTCACTGGTGGCCCCGTGGCCGCCCCCGCCGTCTGGACTCCGAGAGTAAGCTGTTTAACCTTGACCTGCAAGATCCCATCCAGTGATTTCATGTCAAATCCCGTGTGTCGTCGTCTGCTCTCCCAGAGGTTGGAAACAGGTCTTGGCATGGTCTAGACAGGCACACTGACACTGACCGACAAGCCCAAACTCTAGAAGAAAGCTCATTCATGCTGGATTCACTGAGACTTGGGTTGGGAAATAGCAGTGAGCGGTACTGTCAAGCCTGACCCTTGTTTTGCAGGTGACGTACTGAGGGCTGGAGCAGTTGCTCTCAGCCTTCCTAATGCTGCGAACTTTTAACACAGTTCCCCCTGTTGTGCTGACCACCAACCGTAAAATTATTTTCCTCGCTACTTCTAACTAACTCTGCTACTGTTATGAATCGTAATGTAAACACCTGTGTTTTCCGATAGTCATGGGGGACCCTAAGGGGTTTGAGACCCACAGAACTAGTCACTAGAGGATGTGGTTGGACCATCCACCTTTAGCGAGTTAAGGATGGTGCTGGAGTTACAAGCTGTCCCTGGACTGTTGGTCCAGGGCCTTTTAGTCTTTTCTTGTACACACACACACACACACACACTTTAGATTCCTTGAAAATGTTTTACAGAATGTGTATTAGTTTCTCAGTTTAATCATTAAGCTCCCTTTCATAAACTGGACTGGATTGAGCAAGGCCTGTTTCTAGAAATTTCTGGGATTTCCAGGAGTTGCAAACCCTAACAGACTGTTTTGAATAACGGGGCTGTGGGATTGCAGCAAGAGCTGGTACAAAGAGTAGCTGAAAAATGACCAGCAAATGGGCAGCCCCTGAGAGCAGCACATGGGAACATTTTCACCTCATTTGGAAAACTTCAGGAATGGGCTAGAAGAATGTTCCCACTTTACAGATACCTTCCATCAAGACCTGATCTCTTGGTGGTCACATGAGTGAACCAGAGAAAAAGGAAACGCTCGAATAGAATAAAAGTGATAGTGAAAAAAGGTAGCCTGTAGATTATGTCTAAAACTCAAAGAGAAGAAACTTAATTTGGGCTCTTTTTGGTGTGAATCCTTTTTCTCCCAAGAATGGGTTCCAGGTCCCAGAAGTTCAAAAAAAAATGAATAAAAAGTTTGGGTATATCTTCATTTGTTTTCCTCCCTTCCAAATTTTTTTCTCAACCCTAAGGATTACTATCATTTGTGGGATGCTTAACTGCAGTTGTACCCTGTATTATATGATTTTTTTTTTCCCTTTCATGATTCTGTTTTCACGCTGTTTGGTTTGGTTTGCATCAGAATACTGCTCCATAGAACTGGTTGTCTTGGAACTCATTACATAGACTAGGCTGGCCTGGAACTCGCAGAGATCCACCTGCCTCTTCCTTCTGAGTGCTGAGATCAAAGGTGTGTGCCACCACCACTGGCTCTGATTTTATTTTCAGGGTTACTGTGTTTCCCATTTTACTAATATGGAAGTAGAGGCTAACCACCTAAGCACTGTGATGCTATGATTAAGTACCTAATAAGTAAAGGAAGAGGTCCCCACATGAGACCAAGTACCTGATTGTCTCTCTGCACTTGCCATGAGCTTGGAATCACCTTTTCTCCCTTCTCTGTAGATCTTTCCACTGCCCCTCTCACCATTTAATCAGCTCCGGAGATAAATGTCTTCCAGACTTAACTAGAGGGAGGTTCAGCCTCAGCCAAATACAAAATAACTGTGGTTTATATTGTGTCACTCAAGCATTACAACTGAATGTAAACATTTAATCTAATATGTTTATATAGTCATTCACTAAATGACTTTTAAAATTAAAATGACTTCATTTGACTTCCTGTGTAATCATCTCTTTCAGATTGCAAGTTACTCAGGAGAAAGAATTAAAGTGTGTCCAACCTGCTTAATACATAGCACTCCATGCATCAGGGATAATTTGATGCTCAATAAGTAAATTTTCATGGAAGTTATAATTGCTCATAATGACACAAATGCAAACCCAAACATATGTTCTAAAGAAATAACACAATCAAATAGGAGATAAAAACCACACCTGTCTCTCCATTAGTATGAAATACAGTCAAGGTCCATGTATTCTTACTGGCTTTGTTTTTTCTCTACCTCCTAGCACCTTTTGATTCGATCTGTCTTAGAATGTACTTGATAGGTGTCAATGGTATGATATTCATAGATATTATGTCAAAAAAAATTAGTCTATGCTGCTAGCTGGGAGGAGATGACTCAGTGGTTAGAGCACTTGCTGTGGAAGTGTGAGGGCCAGAGTTCAGATCCTCAGAACTGACATAAATGCCAGGAAGGCCCAGCAGGTGACGACAGAGGATCCCCAGAGCAAGCTGGCTACGGAGACTGTATAGGTGAACTTTGAGTTTGGTTAAGAGACCCTCCCTCAATAAATAAGGTAAAAGAGCAATTAAGAACAATTCCTTACATCCGCCTTGGGGGACACACACACAAAGAAGAATATAAAAAAAAAGAAAAAATACATATGTGCGTGCTGGAGAGCTAAGCATGGCGGCTGTAATGTTAGCATTCTGGAAGCTGAAGCAGGATGATTGCAAGTTTGAGGCAACTGTGTGCTGTAAAATGAGACCCTGTCTCTAAGAAGAGAAAATACTTGAGAAAATGTGTTTAATTGTTTTGTTTTGTTTTTTAGTGGAGTTATAATTCTCATGAAAAAAATCCAACATTTCTCTATTTTATATGTTTGAATGTCTAGCCTGCACGTATGTATGTTCACCACATGGATATCTGGTGTGCTCGAGGTCAGAAGAGGACAGCAGATCCCCGGAACTAGAGTTATAGATGGTTGTGAACCGCCATGTAGATGCTGGAAAACAACCCAAATCCTCTGTTAAAGAAACAAGCGCCTTTTACTGCTGAGCCATTTCTCTAGCACAGAGTCAACATATTATACAATTTAGCAATTTTTAAAATATTCAAATGTGTCACTATCCATGTTTTTAAATTGCATAATGTTTTTTTTTTAATCACTCTCTATTAGCAAGTACCTTTTCTAGTTCCTGGCAGACCACTAATCTATATTCTGTCCACATGGATTTTATATAAATGGGATCATACACTCTCTTCTGGTCACTTTCATTGTTGCATGAATTTAGAACCGTAGTTGAAAATGTGCTGTAACACAATTCTGAATTCATGTTTAAGTTAAGTACATTCTTGGCCAAACTGGGCATTTAGGAAAAACAATTCTTTTGTGTTTTGTTTTAAAAGTCTTTTATTATTTTTATTCTCATGTATTGGATCCTCTGGAGATGGAGTTACAGATGGCTGCGTGCCATGTGGTTGCTCGGAACCGAACTGTAGTCCTTCAAAAGAGCAGCAAGTGCTAACTACTGCCATCTCTGCAACCCACCAAAAATAAGTGATTTTATTTGTTTGTTGTATTTTTTTATTTTGTTTTTAAAAGCAGGGTCTTACTGTGTAATAATGGCTGTCCTGGAACTCACTATGTAGACCAGGCTGGCCTCAAATCACAGAGATCGGTCTGCCTGTGGAAATCGTGGAAATCGGGAAAAACAATTTCTGGCACAAGGCGCCTTCCCTGAAAAGCATGCGTTCAGCAGAAGTTTAACCTGCTGGCTGTTTATTAGCGAATGAATGCCTTCAAGATCCATTCCTGTGGAAGGAAGGAAAAGGAAGGACTGGGTAAAAGTAGCCATTAACATTCACAGGATACCAGCTTCATAGGAGGTTACAGCTAAAGTGTGCAGGGTTGCCAAACGCTGGACCTGAAATCTGCCTGGCTGCTTTAAGTCAAAGTCATTGTACATAATGAATCTGACCATTCCATACTGTAATTTTCTCTCCTGTACCTTTCTATTTGTCTATGCTTCCATAGTGTCATAGTTCATACTTTGATATCTACATACTTGGCTACACTCTGGCTGCACCCTTTTTATCTACACACCTGGCTACACTTTGGACATACTCTAAAAGACCCTAAGCCCTGCCTCGCTTACCTCACTTAGGACCAATCAGGTTAAAGCTTAGCTGATAGCACTTTGTCTAGTTAGCCAAAATGTCTTACTGCCTCTCCCCATGTCTTTTGCATTTGGTTCTTTCTATAAAAACCTTGCTGTGAGAACAAGTCAATGTTAAGGTTAGGTTAGGTTCCCGAGTCCTTCTGTAGCCCTGATTGCAACCAGCTTGGAAAAGGCATTCAATAAACCATCCATATCTGAGACCAGAGTCTGTGTGGTTTGTGCAGTATTCTTGGACTAAAACAGTGCTCTGTCTTTATGTACATCTGCACACCAGAAGAGGGACTCGGATCCTACTAGAGATGAGCCACCATGTGATTGCTGGTAATTGAACTCAGGACCTCTGGAAGAACAACCTGTGCTCTTAACAGCTTGATTCTCTCTCTCTCTTTCCTTCTATGATAGGGTTTCTCAATATAGCCCTGGCTGTCCTGGAACTCACTTTGTAGATTAGGCTGGCCCGGAGCTCATGGAGATCTGTCTGCCTCTGCCTCTGCCTCCCAAGTGTTGGAATTAAAAGCACATGCCCCTCCCCCCACCCACTGTATTATTTCTATTGCTGCATATAAATCACCCTCAACCCTGGTGTTAGAGTTGCTATTGTCCAAGGTATTTGAACACACTGTGAACCCAGAGATTCTGTTACTTACCAAAATAACCTGTTTTTAGTTGTAGTGCAGCTGAGCCTCAGCACATATCTTCAATCTAAAAGCTTTCTGCTTGAATGTTGTAAACAGGATTAAATAAAGTCAAACATAGGTC